GAATTTATGCACTTTCCTTATTAAGAATTGGCAGATAAGGAAAGTTTTTTAAATTTGAAATTCAAATTTCAAATTGAGGTAATTATTTTCCTTTTCTCTTGGAGCTAATTTAGAAAGGGAGTTATGATGATTGAATTCATCATAATGGAGGGTTTAATGGGTGGGCCGGCGGTGAAGTTTGGAGAGGGGTATGGCATCGGGTGGGAGGATGGGAGGAGCTTGGGCCGTCGGTTGGAGCTTGAGGTGGTGGAGTTAGGGGAGGATTTGGGTGGGGGGAAAAAGGGCCGGGGGTGGAAGAGAAAGGAGGAGCCAGTGGTGGAGGTGGGGAAGAGAAGGAAAAGAAAATAAAAGAACTCAAACCACGAGCTACGGACTCTTCCAACGACTAGTGGGTATTGCGTTTGCCCACACCTTGTGCTCTCTCTCTTCTCTCTTGAGCACACTTGAAAAGAAGAAGAAGACAAAATCAGATTTTCATTCAAAACATTCATTAAAATTGATACAAAGACTTTGACCACTATATATAGGCCTTGCTAATGAAAATAAACAAAGACGCATACGCCCCTTGGGCTACAAAGCACTCAACTCCCTCATAGGGGTACAAAGGTCCACTGAAAAAAAAAATAATAAAATAAAACTAATACAATAACAAAGCACTCAATAATAGATGCCCCCGATCTTGGCCGTCGATTTGCGATATCTCTTGTGATAAACATGCTAGAAGCGACGACTGATGTCCTCATCACCTTCTCTTCTAACCATTGGCAACTCTTGAGGATTTTTTTTTCTTATTTTGTAAATAGCTCTGGTTTATTTCCTTTGTAAGGGTTTTGAAGAAATTTATATCTACTTTCACACTTTGTATAAAATCAAGCAATAAAATTTTAAGTAATTTTTTCTTCTTTTCTATAATATATATATTGGCAATATAGTAGCATTTTAATTTGGCCTAATCCTTGAACCCTCTTTTGTTTACTTATCTTATTGTGCATGCCCAAATCTTCTAAATATTTTTTAAATTACCTAATCTTCATTAGATGCTCCTCTCGCCATATTACTCAAAAAATCATCCTTTAGTTTAATGATATAATTTTGTTGGCCATTAAAAGAGAAGCATAATATTAAGTGTTGCAGAGATGAGAATGCTCAGGTGGATGAGTGGCTTTACTCTTAGAGACATGATACGAAATGAGCATATACTTGAAAAAGTTGGAGCAGCTACAGTGGAAGATAACTTAGATGGTTTGGTGACATAATACGTGGCCTTCCGATGACCCGGTTAGGAAAGTAGATGCATTAGATTTTACTTATGTTAAAAAAAATAGAGATAGACCTAAAAAGATTTGGTTAGAAAATATTAGAAATGACCTTTCTTTATTAGATTTAAATGAGAATTTACTTTTAAAAGAACACAATGGAGAAAAATGATTAATGTAGCCTACCCCACAGTGGGATAAAAGGTTTGATGTTGTTGTTGTTGCTCTTGTAGTATAATTTTATTTATAAATTAATATAAGCATGACTACTCATAGTCTGTATTTCTTGTTTATATAGATTAAAAGCATGATTTTGTTGTAGCATAATGTTATAAATTAGTTATTGCCTACAAAAATGTTATAGAAACAGATGCCCTAGTGAGACCATTGTGCTCATAACCCTGTGAATTTTTTTTGAGGGACGTGTAAAAGGATTTGTTCCTAAAGCCAGATTTGTTCCTAAAGCCAAAGGAGGGGGGGAATTTCTAGATTTCTCCTACTGAAAGTAAATGGCTGGTTCCTCCCTTTAATATTGCTCACTACCTGATCTCCTCCAAACAGTTCATGCATCATGCACCACTTAGCCATTGAGTATGAATTAAGATTGAATCTAATGAGTCCAGATTTAGTAATTTGCAATTCAGAAAATCAAATATGAAAAAGTATTGAATCAAATATGGTTCCAGTTTTAGTAATTTGGGATTCAGAAATTCAGCCTTGATTCATTCAGCAAACTGAAATCTCCCACGATCTTTTATCTTCAGGAAAAGACCTTTTAGTGGACGCCACACCCTTAATCTAACCAATGTTTGAACCCTTGCATTCATGGCAAAATCCAACATTGTCCAAGCCTAGTATGTTCTTCAGTAGCGATTTTAGATTGTCTAAAGAACAAATGCTAGAAACTAAAGGGTAAAAGAAGCTTGTGACCAAAGCCTTATACGCCTTTATGGCTGGAACACACATGTATGCAATGATATGCACAAGATCAAATATTGCACCAGAAGTGGGAGTAGTCAGCAGCTGCATATCTAATTGGTAAAAAGAGCTCTAGGCAGCTATTAAGTAAATATTTTGTCATCTATCTTAAAAGTGCAATAGACTATTTTTTTAAGTTTAAAAGAATTAGCTTTAAATGACATGACTATATTGATTTGGATATAGGTGGAGAAGTAACAAATGATACATTTATACTTTGGGTGTTACCACCTCAGATGGATGTCACAACTTCAGAAAATAGTTACACTTAGCGGAATATGTAGTTGTTGCTAAAGATTACAAGGCGATGGTTTGGCTCAAAAGCTTCGTGGAAGAGCTCTATCACAAGAAGATGTTGCATTCTTTCTTGATGGCCAGAACACCATTTTACAATGAATGTTGTTTTTCACTTATGGAGAAAGAACATATAATTCAAGCACTGATATATATGCAGTTTGTTCAAAGGAGATGTCTTACAACTAAGCAATTTTAAGTTTTGGAGCCTAATTTTTGCCTTATCAAGAAAATGTGCTACACAAATTTATTTGTAGGTTGATTAAGGGCATTTTGAGGATTTAATATATTTTCAATTGACCTAATTTTTCTTTATAAACATTGGGGCGTTGTCTTTATGGTGTAGCTAGAGAATTATGGTTGTAATTCTCACTATCAAAATCATAGTGAAATCTATAGCAACGACAATAGGAATTAGCCATAAATTGGGTGAATTTGTATATAATTTTGTGTGTTGGTTTTTTTTATTATTTTTGTTCTTAATGCTCTCTAGGTCTTTGAATTTAGTTTTGTCTATTTTCCAACACTTGAGAAATGCTTACAAAATTTGTACTAGTAGGAAAGTTTAGGCCTTGCGAAGTCTCAGCAAGTCTGCTCGATTGATGATTTAGAGATAACACATATAGAGTTATTTGGACATTGATTATTAAGTAGGTACATTAAAAATTTTAGTATGCAACTGAGAGATTGCTATAGTTATAAAGCCAAAGTTTCCTCCAACAAATATGTACAAAATAAGATTGGGATCTCCTATTATTGCAAATGAGATTTACAAAATATATGGTTGTAGTTTTTTTAGTGGGTCATGAGTTCTTTTGTTGACATCAAGATATTGTAATTAATAGTGCTTTATGTGTTTCCAAAATCACGTACTGTTACTATTATAAATAGCTCCTTATGTTGAGCTTATTCTTTATGAGGTCAATCTTCTCTCTCTTATGTTATTATTAGTACTTAGGCTTTCCTGTACTAGAATATAATTGATTTTAGGACTTTCCTTAGGAGGACACCCAAGGATATGGCATTGGATAGCCCTAGAAAACCTATAAAATCCTGTAGACCCTTTTTAGTGACCTTAGGAAAGTGATAGGCTTATCCAAGCCTAAACCCTAGGTTGATCCTAGGTCAAAACCCTAGAAACTCTAGAAACTTTAAAAGACACTAAATTCAGCCCAATTACCTCCTTACCTCAAACTTCAAAATCTTAAAAATATTTGTCACTGTTTTAATCAAGAGTCTTTCTAAGAGACTCATCTCTTGGCTTTATAGGGAACCTGTAATCTAGAATAAAATAAACTCTTTCTTACTCAACTAAGGTAGAAGAAAATATCTAGAAATGTGGACATTTTTTCAAAATACTCATTTTTGTTTTTTAATATCATTATAGAATATCATTTATATCTTTTGAAGTATGTTATTCTCTATGTTATATTTGATTATAAAAATAGGGATAAATGAGAGTTTAAGTGACTTTCATTATAGGATATCATTTTTGTCTTTCGGAACTTTGTGTTATTTTCTATGCAGTATTTGATTATAAAAAATGAAATTTTCAAATCCGAGTTTTATTTTCCCACACCTTAGAATGAGGGTTTTGATATCCCACATTAGCAAAAAAAAAAAAAAAAGAAAGATGAGAAAGAGAAGGGGTTCAGGTTCTCTTCATTGTTAGAGAGAAATGAGAGTTCAGGTGACTTTCCATTCAACAACATAAAAGGTGTCTGGAGCATGTCTTGCATGCAGGGACTAGGACGGAAGAATTCTATAGCAACCTTGGCTTCCTCCTTTCTCGGTCCCATATTTCTCTCCTACAAAAAGCGTTTGTGATCTCTTAACATTTAATTTGCTTTAACTGACGTATGCTGTCCTTTTCGCCAAATTGCTGCAAGTGGATACATCATTGCAAAAGTGGGAACTCAAAATCATTTATGTTTACAAAGAAAAATATTTGATATATCTTTTTTGAAGCTTAGTAAAATTATTTCATCTTTATGTGACCTCATACGTAGGTGGATCGCACTAAACCACATGAATTTTATGTACCTCTTCTTATGTATTCATTGCATTTGGTTTCTTGTTGCTACTTTTATCCTATCACTTGGTTATTTTAAATCAACAAGTTTCTAATGCTCTATGATATAAATATAGTAAAGGATATGCTGTTGCTTTTTTTTTTATTTGTTCGGATGAAAATTTTATCATCTCATTGTTCATATTTTCCTCAGAACTTGGATTAGCAGAATTGAATTTGTTGACTTCAATCTGTTTATTAGTGATTTTGTTCTGTATCAGTTGTTCAGCATATTCTTCCTTTTGTTTGCTGTTGTATTCAATTCCCTGCAGGACTTGCTCTAAAAGTTTCATGCATTTACACACTTTTTACTATCTTCTAATTTCCAATTCTGATTTGAAGTGTCTATCTACCATCTTCAAACTTTTTCCATTATTTAAAAACCTTAAATTGTATAACAGTGATGGTTCCAGAGGAGGTGGTGGTGATTTTCTCGCTGGTTTCATCGTAGGAGGAGCTTTATTTGGAACCTTAGCTTATGTCTTCGCTCCACAGGTGTTTATTATTATCCTTTGGCAAAAATTATGGGATCTACCCATTTTTACACCCCTAAACTTGAAAAATTATTCTCTGTGGAGTCCGGCCATCATCCAGAGACCAACAAAAATGCGCCACGTCATCTCAAAAGTGTATCGCGCTAAGTACCGAGCACAGTACCGACGCTGGGTACCGCTTCGGTACCAAGCGATACCGGACGATTCTCCCGTCGGTGTCCGCACAGAATAATATCTCCCTAAACTTTGACATCTCTAATTTGTTTAAGGGTCCTTTTGGGGCTCCCACTTATGTTTTTCACGCAGCTATGGCACTCTATTTGGCGAATTTTTTGCATTGATATGGAGCTTTTATAGTCAAATTTGCAAGATTTCGAGCAGCAATCAAGTTGCTGTCCCGAAAATTGTTTACAAAAAATCTTTTTTTTTTATCGGAACAATTTCTGTAGCTATTTTTACAGATGGCTGTAGCTGCCCCAAACGGACTCATCATCAACAAATTCTAAAATTGTTTGATTTGCAGATCAGGAGGTCTTTGTTAAATGAAGATGAATCTGGATTTCGACGGGCTAAGCGACCGATATATTACTACGATGACGGTCTCGAGGTAATCAAACTTGTATTTCTCAACCCATTTAATTACAATGAAAATTGTTCTTAGATACGTTTTTCATCATCTTCATCTGTTGCAAAGCAGAAGACCCGTCAAACTCTGAATGCTAAGATTAGCCAGCTGAATTCAGCCATAGACAATGTCTCCTCACGGTTGAGGGGTGGAAAAAATACAGCTGCGACTGAGCTCATTGAAACTGAACCTGAAGTAGAGGCCACCCTGTAGGGCTATTATTGCTCAATGAACATAGTTATTTTAAGCTAAGAAGCTACTCTCTGAAATTTTTATTCATGTTTGTGTATTGAAGTGGAAGAACTAACTGTTCCAGATTTTATATACATACAGATTGTGTTCTTGTATGAAAGACAAATGCTTAAGTTAGTAAAAATTTAAATGTTATGTTAAGAAAAATGATCATTGCTGTTATTATTATTATTATTATGTTGTTGTTGTTTAAATGCCTTATAATTTTGATATTTTTCTCATAATTTTGAGCAGTTGTCTTTTGTGTTCTAATATAAGTTGTATTAGAAATAGTTATACTATTTTCCAGTTACTAAGTTAAGCGTTGTAGAAATGAGGATGCTTAGGTGAATGTGTGGCTTTTCCCTTAGATATAGGATACGAAGTGAGCATATACGTGAAAAGATTAGAGTAGCGCCAATGGAAGATAAGAGTAGAGAGAGTCGCCTTAAATGGTTTGGTCACATAAAACGGCGGCCTTCTGCGACCCGGTTAGGAAAGTAGAGGTATTAGATTTGACTTATGTTAAGAAAGGTAGAAGTAGATCTAAAAAGATTTGGTTAGAAAATATTAGAAATGATCTTTCTTTATTAGATTTAAACAAGAATTTGACTTTTAACCGGGCACAATGGAGAAAAAGGATTCATGTAGCAGACCCCACGTAGTGGGACAAAGGCAAAGGCTTGTTGTTGTTGTAAAGTTTCTCCAATTTGATGTTTTCGACAACTGAAAGTGTTTCTTCATGTAGTTGTCCATGTATTGATTAATCTAACTGAGTTATTAAACAGTAAGAAAGCTGGTCCAAACAAAGCCTATAGATTAAGCTAGGAGGGGTTTTTTGCTATTTTTGGACCAAAACCACTTTAATTAAGGCTTCGTTTGGGACGGCTTTTTTATTGCTTCTTAAAACAGTTTTCTAATGCAAAATTTTTAATTTTTGTACTGAAAAGCTGCTTTAAGAAGCAGTAAAAAAGTCATCCCAAACGAAGCCTAAAACTTTATCAATTTGGCAAGTTTACTTGAACATAAATTTGGCAAGTTTTGTTTAATTCCCATCTAATCTATTGTTCTTATTAATGTAAACTAAGCTTTGCAATAATTTCAAATGTTTAAAATCACTAATTTCGAGGGTGTTTTAAGAGAGTTTGTAAGGTTTAAAATTAATGTTAATTTTTAATTAAGCATAACCAAGTGATGGAGTTAAAAAATATTATTAATTATCAAACATGTTTGCTAATTTTAAGCAAACAAATATCTTTAAGTTTTATGATTCTTAAAAATGTGGTTTCTACCTACAAAATGCCAAATGGGACCTTATGAATTCAAGGAATTAGTGAATTTCACATAACTCTCTAGAATGGATGACCATTTCTCTATTTAATCTAAAAAATTATTTGACTATTTAAAATGGTAAAATTAGATAGAAAGAAATGAATTAGTGAAAGTTCTAATTATTTTTATATATTATATGATTATTTTTTAAAGTTATTTTGTTTTATGAATAATTAAATGATCATATTTATATATTATTTTATTTGAAGAAAATATAAAGCAATTGATAAAAATTAAAATAAAAAGGAAAACAAAAATTGAAGACTTGCAATGCCCGTTGTGAGATTAAATAACTCATTAAATTAGAGAATATTTAATTTGAAACCAACAAATTAGTCTCAAATCAAGTTCAATTATAAAAATCAGAAAGCATATCATTTGGGTTAATTAAACTCTGTGCAAGTCATATGTAATTTTTATTGTAGGAGGATATTAAACAAATAGCTCTACAAAAAAAAAAAAAAAAATGTTGAGTATAATTTTGGTGTATTTGATATAGTGTTAGATGGCCGAATTAGCTCATTAGTTACAGAGCTCAGGGCATCTCCAACCGAACGGCAAACACTTGTTTGCCGTTCTTGCTTTGCTCCAACTGATCGTCATTTTTTTACGTCATTTGATCGCGGATGAACAGTGCTACGCCAATATTAGCGTTGCACTGTTCATCTGCGCCATTTTTTTCTCTATACCGAACAGGTTGGGAAGAAAGGCGCGAAAGAAAACGATTGTTTTAGCGGCAAAATGGCGTTGGATTGGAGATGAAACACGGCATTTTTTTATTTACCTGCATTTTGGAGTGAAAAATGACATTTTCGGTTGGAGATGGTCTCACAAGTTGAGATAATCCAGCTATGAGTTCGCGCTCGAGCCTATCTTTGCTAGTAAGATTTTCAAGTTGCTCGATTAACTTAAACTATAATTAAATAATAATAATTTTAATAAAGCTTTATATATTTTATTTTATTTTTTAAAATTTATTTATATAAACTCTCTTTATTTTTTTAATATTAAAAGGGGATTCTTAAAATATTGAAAATTTTTATTTAAAATTAAGGAATCAAGCTCAACAATTAAGTTAAGCTCAAGTTTTCTACACAGGCTTGTGCAATCGAGCCAATTTTAAGTCTAAATTTTTTAATAAGCCACGTTCATGCTAAGTAAATGAGCTTAGTTCGAGATCGAGCAAATACTCTGCTTCACTCAACTCATTTTCACCACAAATTTGGAATGCACCCTCGAACTCCATCACAATTTTGATGTATTTGAAATCATTAGATTTGAACAATTTTCAAATACACAATAATTCTGTCATGTTGTTACCCGCCATCGCAATCATCTACCGACCACCCGACAACCACAGACCATTGTCGCCGCACTGGCAAACAATGCCAACCGCCACCACCGCTCGTCAACCACCTCCCCCCTCCCGACTGCGGATATGCATATCCGATTATATACTTTGAGGTATATAAAATTTCCCAACAAATATTCCAAAAATTTAAGATCTATTGTTCAGATTTATTTTCTCTGCAATCAGCACACAACAAATTTCTTTTTTTTTGTGCTTTTGCCAATATAAATATTTATGTAGCCTCTAATTAAAAAGAAAAAAAAATAAATTGCTGAACTAAATCGAACTATTAGACATTGGAAAATAAATTACAGGAGAGACCACTCATACATTTCAAAAACACAAATGCAGACTTTTCAGCGCAATATTTTTTAAAAAAATCTTCATTTATTTTCCCAAAAATACAATATATTATATATTAGATAATAAAATAATGTTTATTAAATAATATGTACTTAATTTGACTATTTTGAAATAAATAATAAAGGTAATTTCACAAAAAATATTTTGTAAATAAATGAATTTAGAAAATAGTATCAAATTTTTATCATAATTATTTTTTGTATTTAATAAATTTGATTTAAAATAAGTATGATAAAGTTTTTAATAAAAATAATTTTAATTAACCTAAAATTTCTCTATTTTTTAAAAAATATGTAATATAACATTTCATGATTTCATTTAGATAATTCCAAAGAAAGTATTCAACGCATCAAAAGGGCGGCAGTTGACAGTCTGCCAAATTGAGCGGCAAATTGAAGAACGGCAGATTGCCGCCTCCGCCTCCGCCTCCGCCTCCACTGGTGGCTGGCTTCTCCACCTCTTCACCTTCTACCGGAAGCCGCTCGTAGGCAGCATTTGCGAACGAGTAAGCGATGACTATGACCGGCCCGGCGGCGATAAGCGCTCCGGCGACACTCCCGCCGACAACCATCCCTTGGCCGCCGCCAGCGAGAAAGACGGCGAGACTGGTTGCACCAGGCGGCGCAGGTGGCGGGAGGAAGGAACCTGAAAGGGAGAGGATATCAAACCGACCATGGAGGTTGAGTATGTCACCGGCTGCAGCCGGTTGCCGGATGCTCACGTCTGTGACCGTACCGCAGGCTGTGAGAATAGAGAGGCCGCGTTGGCGGCGGCGGGCAAAGTCGGAGAGAGAGGTGAAGACGTCGGAGCCCGCGGCGATTTCTAGGATGTGGGATTGGAGAGTGTTCGGAGTTCCTCTGGTTAGGAGTAAGGGCGCCTTGGGTTTGTTTTTGGAGCCGGGAGGTCGACCGCGGGGACGGCGGAGGAGCGTGTCGGTAGCGGCGGCGCTATCACCGGAGAGAGGGTTGTTGTCTTCGGAATTGTATTTTGAAGGGGTAGCGTTATTGGGATGGAGGTCATGGAACTGGTGGCGGAGGAATTGGGAGCTCATGGTAGTGTTGTTGGTTAGATCTATGGTTGCCATGAGAGCATGAAGGGAGAGAGAGAGAGAGAGAGACAGAAAAGATGGAGTGGGAGAGATGAAGATAAGGAAGTTGTCATAGGGCTATTTTGGGGAGAAAATTATGCACTTTAGAATTTTTAAATTTATTTTAAAATCAACACTATATATATATTCTATTTTTTTTTTTAAATAAGAAATATCTACTTACAATCAAATCTCTAAATTTTATAATTATATACTTTAAAAATGACATACTAAAATACCAACATCAAAATTTTATTCTTTTCAAATGGAGTTTAAGGTTTCGGTTGGGACGATTTTTTTACTGCTTTTTAAAACGGAGTTTTAGTACAAAATTTTTTATTTTTGTACTAAAACTCCGTTTTAGAAAGCAATAAAAAAGCCATCCCAAACAAAGCCTAAGTCTTCGTTTGAGACAGCTTTCTTAAAGCTTCTTAAAGGAGTTTTTTAACACCAAAATTAAAATTTTAGTATTTTTATTAACAAGCTGGTTTAAGAATTAGTAAAAAAAGTGTTTCAAGATTTCATTTGGGACAATTTTTTACTACTATTTAAAGTAGTTTTTTAACACAAATTATTTGAATTAAAAAGTGTGAATTATAAAATTACTTTAGAAGCATTAAGAAAGCTATCTCAAATAAAGCCTAAGATCACGAGGATGTTAAGAGTTTTTATGAGTCAATTTTTTATTTAAAAAAATTATTATTATATTTGGCTATAATATTTTTTTTTTCATTGGAATTATTCATGCTAAAAAATAATATATTAATATGATAATAATAAAATTATTATTATTATTAACTTTTTGAAAAATAATTTTGTTTTGACAATCTTACAACTAATTTCCAGGTAGGTTGGCTCTGCGTTTAACGGGTCAGAGCTTCTTAGGGTTAGGGTTGGAAATAAGTGAGAACAGTGGGAAGAAACTAGAAAGTTGCTGCAACTAAACTTAAAGGGCCCACTTGTCTTTTTTTCTCTGCGACTAAGCTTTGGGTTGACATTATATGACAGCTATTAGCTATATAGAGACTTTCTCTCTCTTATTTTTTGTTATTTATAAAATATTTATATTTAATTACTTAGTTATGCAATTAGAAATCTAGAGTTACATTGACATATTATGATCTTAATTGAATAATATTTCAGTAGATTTATTTATTCCAATATTTCATTAAATAAATTCATTTAAATTAGTTATGCGTGTTTATTATATCTTTATTAAGATAACTCCTTTTAAGGATTTAATAACTAATATACATCGAATCATATTTTCTTAATTTATTTGATACCCAAATATTATATTTAAATGTGTTAAATATTACATTGCATTATTTTAATTATATTATAAACAATTAAAAAAAATCCTTTTATGTCAAGGATTCTTTTAGAGTGTAATTGAGCTAAGTCGGCTTAAGCTCAACTCATTAACAAGCTCGTGAGTCAAATTTATCAAGCTACGAGTTTAAGCTCAAGCCTATACTTGAGCTTCTATATCAAATGAGCTCAACCTAGCTCGAATGGAAAGCTCGTTAAGCTGCTCAATTAGATAAAATTAAAAAATAATTTAAATTAGTATTATATAATATGTTTATTAATTTTAAATTAATTTTTTATTAAAAATAAAATTCTTAAAAAATTTAAAAATTTAATTTAAAATTAAAAAATCAAGCTCAATAATCGAGCAAAGCTTGAGTTTTTCTAAGGAGCCCAAACCTATAAATTTTTTAAGGAGTCCAACTCTAGCCTAATAAAGGAGCTCGAGCTCGAACTAAATAAACTTATACAAATACTAGACTTGACTCGCTACTTTACACCCCAAAATTCGTCCATTGCATTGATTATAAAGAACCCAACACCCTACCTGCAGGCTTCTTTCAACAGCCTGTTGCAGCCCAATAGGCCCACTGCAACAGGCCTTCAATGACAAGTTTTCAAGACCATGGAAGGAGTTTTGAGATAATCTTTAGAGCTATTTTTTGCTATTTTGTTAGATATTTTAGAGAGAGAGGATACATTAAAGGGAAAACACTAAGAAAAATATTGCTAAAATCAATTTCTTAAACATTTCATTATTGTTTAGAAGGTTTTTATAATACCAAAAATCTGATCAAAGTGAATCAAAATGGATCAAAAATGGCTTTAAAAAATAATAAAAAAGTTGCCCCAAAAAATTCTTAATGACCAGAGCTACTTCTGGAGATCTAATTAATTGATAGAGATTGGTGCAGATTAAATTATAGATCCCTATTTAGAAGTTCTAAATTTAAAAAAAAAAGGATAAATTTTGATTATTTTAGTCGTTTTTGAAATGATTATTTTGCACTATATTTTTTATTTATGAGAAGTAGAGTTGGCAAGAGATTTTGATCATCACATCTTTGAATGGTTTCCTGCGCATAATCAAAGAGGTAAAATCAGGTTGGAACAACTTTCACTAATAATAAGAATGAGTTATAACCAAAAGAACTGAGACCCATTGATTTCCCCTAATATTAGGTCAAGAAATCCTTTATTTTTTTATGATGTCAAGGAGAAGAGATTCTTATCTTTTTTGAATTACAACAAAGGGTTGCACACCAAAGTCAGAATCAAAGAAGCATTTTTTCAACTAAAAAATGAAGGAGATAAGCTCGATTGAAAAAAAGAGGCCCTTATCTGTCTGACGTTGCTGTAAGAGTATCGCTTAACTACACCAAAGAAGAGACCGATTGATCACATATGGTATGTCCAATGTTAATAAGAACAAGATATTTTTTCATCTAAACCCTAAACGATGAACTGCGTCTGATGTCCGCAAAGAATAATTTCTCCATTTGATCATTCATTCCATCGCCCTTTGTTCAATAATAGAACTGTCCTAATCGCCCCTAGTCATAAACCACATTCAAGTTGTTCAGTCTAACCTCCCTCACTTGATTGCCTCCTGACGTCTATATATTTTGATAATCAGGTTCGCAGCCTCCATTACTAATAGGATTATTTTGACTGTACTATGCTATTCTGAATTCCTTGCTCTACTTTAAAAAAGGGATATCTCTCCGTAAAATTAGGTCTATCTATTGCATTGAAGCATTCTCTAACTTCGAGGAAGGCAGACAACTGCAACTCAAAACTTAACCTAATAGAGATTTTCTAAGCAAGGCCTCACAGTTTCTGCCCCTATTAAAAACATTAAAAAAAAAAAACAACTTCTGCTCATTTTTCCTAATTATAAAAACATCATTATCTACGTAAAACTCCATCTATCCATAAATCGACTTAATGTTCAGCACACAACAACATTAATTGCTTGAATTTCTTCATAAAACTCTACTAGAACTCAGTAATCCAAAACCCCAAGGAGTCACTTTCCATTTCTTCAGAAGAATGAATTCCTCTGCCAGACTTATCAGTCCAGTTATTATTATAAACTGCATAAAAAAATGCTTCTGACATACATCTTGTGTAAGGCAAATTCATAAAGTTTCACATCTTAAAGGATGCAAATAAATTAAAACAACTGCCTAATAATCAAGCAAAAAATTAAGTAAATCATAGAAATAATTGAATGAGGAATAGTATAATCAAACAAAAACAAAAAGCAATTCAGAAAGCATATTTCTATTTTATTTAAGTTAATCAAAAACATAATCAATAGGTCAAAGTTGTAGAAAGTTTTATTATGTTTAAAAAGCAATAAATTTTCACGCCTCAAGAGATTTAGCAAATCTATGGGAGAGTAAAGTTGAAAACACAAAAATATTTATACTACAAAGAACTGAATAACTCCTTTGAGAGAGAAAACACTTGACAAGATGAAGAGAATTCAAAAAGACACTGAGACAGAGTGATAATTCTGTAGTAATGGACAGAAGTAAGAGTCTTTGAAATGGAAAGAAATTGGATATCAAATTTGTTGTCATGATGAGTCTCAAGGACACTAAAATTGTTTTGAAATAAATGCAATGTAAATTTCAATTCATTACAATGAATTGCCCTCATCTCAAAGTAATCCAACGGCTTTGGCATCAAAAATTTTTCCTATTGAATTGAGCAGACTTTGGAAATTTACAATATGTTATCCAAAACATACAATAGAAGAGAGTACTAATATCTCAAAACAAAACTATAAAAAATTATTTATATTTTAGACCCACTTTCATAAATTGACCAATCAAATTTGCAGGATTGCCATCCACTATTATATATATATAAAAAAAGTCATTTGTTTAGACTTTCTGTAAGGAAGAATAGCACTTCTCAAAAGAGCGATACAAGCTTCATTGGAAGACAAAAAAACTGCGGGATTTAGAAAAGGCTAAAAGCATACCTGGAACATGAAGCACACGTGAGACCCAGTACAAATGTATATAATATAATTTCTAATATTGGAGAATGCGCATTTCCTACACTAGAAAAACATATAGGATCTTTATGTTTAATCCTAAGCAAGTAATTTCCTCAGAAAAGGAAGACATATTTCAGCCATCATATTTCTAAAGGAGAAAATAAGAGCTGCAATAGCTTTACGACAATAAATAGATTTCTTTTGCAATAAACTAATATTAAGAAAGAGAGATTTTCAGTGAAAGGAGAAGAATAACCACTTAGATTTTTACATGGGACGGAGAAGGAACTTGCAGTTCTGTACTTTATTTATGCCAGAAGAGCAAGGAAGATCGCTTTTGTTTTCTTCTTTAAGGCCATATACATCTGTACATATCTACACAATCTGATCTTGAATTAGATGTTCCAATCAAGCTCAATCTAGGCAAGGCTGGTGGGTCAGCTTGCTGATTTCAATTTAATCTAGATTCAAAAAAAAAAAAAATCAATCCAACTACTCTTAAATGAACATCCATATTCAAGTCAAATTCACCGCTCTGTCTAAGCTTTCAATTTTGGAAACAACTGGAACGCACAACCACCAAGCCTTTTATTGAAGCACTTATAATGTGTTTACAATGAAAAAACGTACATCAAAATTTAAAAAAAATAAAATAAAATCAACTCTAATGAAAAGGATACGGTGATCATTACAAGAAACATTTGTATCCTTAATTTCCATGGCAACTTTAACACAATGAATTAATTCTAATTAACTCGAGCAATTTATATCAACTCTTATAGTAATGAAAGATGAGCATAAGTTTTAGATGACAGGTCCTGTTTCAGCTAGACCATCATAAAAGAAAGGTTGCTCCAAGTCCATACCAAGTTCAAGCTTGTTAATTTGTTATGTATAAACCTGAAAAAAAAATCAAATTAATTTCAAGATTCTTTATCATCCTAAAACGTGTCCAAAATACTAATCTCAGCTTAAGCAATATAAATTAAAAAGATAGAAATTGATGACCAATTACTGGGAAGACTAACAATGCTTTTCCAAATGGCCGGAAAAAAAAATTCTACTAAAAAAAGCTGAAGATGTCTCAAACTTGTTGGATTTGCTTTGAGAAGAATCCATTATTGAATAATCTTCAAATTTGTATAGTAGCACCAATCTCAAAATAAATCTAAATATTTTCAGACATCCTGACGTTTTTTTTTTCAATAATATATCATTTCAAAATAAAAAATATCACAACAAAAAAAAGCTTATATTTAATTCAAGCTGCATCAATTTTAAATTGAGTGAAACAATAAAAATACTCCCCAAGAAGTGTATGAAACTGTCTCATCTTTTATTGTTCCATCTAAGAAAACGGACTCCAAATTTTTTGTGTGGGTCTTTTTGAGAATCGTAGCAATACTCTTTCACATTTAAGTGAGAAGGAAAGAGACGACAATACAAAATATTCAGATCAAAACAGTTTATTCTACATCCCGAATACATAAAAGGGAGTTTTGCTCTTTTTTCAATGGTCAGAAACTAGACCCAATAAATCATAACAAACAAGGAAGTAAAGCAAGAAGAGAAAAAAAAAATCAAGTTGGTATTAGCTAACTTATTTGATATACAATTTAAAAATGGTTGTCAATATCTTCTATTTGAATTCCACCTACATCAAATTTATGCTGTGACATTCACCAACAAACAAAAAAACTAGCAAAAACACCGATTAGTTTTAGAAACACTAAAAGTTGAAACACAAAACCAGTTTAAGTAACATAATCTATGATAGCTATTCCGCATAAAAAAAGATAACAAAAAACCAAAATGCTTCACAGAGAAGAAGAGTCGGATCATTTGATATTGCTGTTTTTTTATTCTTCCCTTGCATCCTCTTCACTACTTTTTGAGAAAATCAAAGGGTTGGCAACTTACATAGAGCAACCCAAAAAAGAGAAGCAAAAAATTGACGTCTAAAATATCAAATTAAAATTCAAATATCAAGCAACAAGAGAAATAAATGCTACATGGCGGACATACCATTTTCTGGCGAGTGTCATTCATATTTTTCTAAATACAACTCATGAATATTTGAAGGTGATTCATGCATGTATGAAATGCTCACCAAAAGACGATGATCAGCCATAAGTTCAAGTACCTTTGTCCCTTTGGAGAAAACAAAATGACCATTGACACCAAAGAAGTTGGCAAGCGCAAGCACAACAGACTCAGATAGATCAGACTCTGGGTGTAGACAGTCAGGCAAGTCCGGTAGACAAGAAGGAAGAAATTCTTCTTGATGGAATGTTAGGTTGTATAGTGCAAGAACAGACCGACAAAAAACAAACCTGTCAAAATCAAAGAGGCGTAGTTTATCAAAATGTAACAAATATGAGGACTGCTTTTAAGTTGTGGAGACTAATTTTTTTCCTATGAAGGAAAATGCGCTAAGTTCTGAGAATTTATTAAATTTTCAATTGTCCTAATTTTTCTGTTCATAAAAAAGTAGTCTTTATGTTCTGTTTAAGACAATCAAGACTACAAAAACTACATAATGAAATTTATAACAGCATCAGCAAGATGTAGCCATCATTTGATAAATCTATATAAAAATTATGTGTTTAGTACGTTGATCTTCTTTCCTTTTTTTTTTTTTTTTTTTTTTGAATTTGGTTTCACCAATTTCTAAACATCTTTCATCATCATTTAAATGCCAAACTTGATCACTAGAGCGTTGTTTGATGCTGGAAAATAATGCAGAGTTGATGGAAACCAAGCAGTTCAATGTTCATCATCTAAGGGAATGGTTATACTGGATGGAACTCTTTATGAAAGAATTCAACATCTAAATAGTTTAAAGGATGAATAGCTGAATTCCTTCTTCATAAGAATTAAATTCTAGTAATTTTCAAGATAAATACAGGTGAAGCTGAAGCCACAATATATTTCACATTTTTAATGCAAGGAGTCATATAGGAAACATTGCAGGGTCCAAGAATAAAACGAAGTTCCATAAAGAATTAATCTTACTATATGTAGATGGTACATGGTAGTGTACTTGTCAAAGGCACACAAATAGAATCCCATGATGCAAGGTCCAACATAACTCACCCTCTTTGATATCAATGATGCACAACAAGATGGTTCATGGCTCACTGTCATCGCTTTTTGTGATATGACACATTATGTATGGAAAATGCATGTGGCACACATGGCGCATAGCATAGATCGAGCATGGTACATGGCTTACAATGTGGTGTGCACCAATGCACAGGGCACAGAGAGTTAGTTGCATGGCGACGTGCATGAAATGTTTTTTTATTTTTAATTTTTTTCAATCTTAATTGTTATGAAGAAATAATATGCAATAACATCTTGGTTTAATGCACGTTGGTGCTCCTCTGTTTTCATTCAAGCGTGGTAATGACACTTTGAAGGCTTCTATTGATTAGTTTTTTTTTCTCATTTTTTTTCTCAAAGGAGGTACCGAGTTAAAAATGAAAATAAAAATTAATAATAATACGGGAGAGCATTCTTTCCTCCTGGAAGTTGTTAGGATGTTCATTGAAATCATCTCAAGGCCACTTTGTCAAGCTAGCATTTGGTTTTTTCTCTTCCTAAAACCATGACAATGGAGAAAAGAAGAAAACTCCAAACACAGTTTGAAGTGATCTGCATAGACAACTTGAATTTAATCATCAAAATTGCATACATCAATTCCTATTTATAGAAATTTGGTTACAGATGGAAGGCCTGAATTTTAAATCAAAATTTAATAAAATAAATAAATTAAATATATACTAAAAAGAATTGAAAATCGGTGTGCATTAGCTCCATAGCCTAGTCAGACCTATAAAAATTAGCCTATAGCTAATAGTACTTTTACAAGCTAATTTGCCCTGATTTGTACTGCATCAATTCATAAACCAACAAAGAACTTTTATCTTTATGTTATGTGACACAAAAGAAAAAAGAAACTTTTCTCTTTATGAGTTTGGTGGAGACCATGGAGGAGAAATTGGAAGCAGAAGATGATCTGATAGAAGAAACGCACAAACAGTATACAAAACATCAGCAGAAATAAGACAAACGAATACAAAAAAAATTGGAGGCTTCGGTGCTGAGCAGCTATAAAAAACTTTTCTATTGGAGGCTTGGGTGCTGAGCAACTATAAACTCCATAAACTTGTAAATTATTTGCAATGCTTACCAACAGTAGTAGGTGATGCAGATGGCAAGAAGATCATAAATTCAATTTCAACTTTCAAGTAACTAGATCTTGACATGAAAACTCCTTCAAAAAAACAATGGGAAATGTTGTTCAATTCTACACCAGATTTTAAGATTAATTTAGTATTTCAAAACATTTACTAAACTTTTGCTAATTGAGTTGATTTAGAATTAAGCCTCAAATTAATTAACTATTTATAATGAGTTCAAGTACTCAGTAGACTGATGAAAAAAAGATCTCCAAAAGACAAATTGATTAATCAAAATTTGAAAAGTGGTTCAACAAGACAAATGATTAATCAATAACATTAAGATCAAAATAAAAAGAGTGGCGAAAGCATTAATGAAGTTAATGCAAGATCAAAGTTGAGTGTAAAACAACCTTAGGCATAAATCTACAATGGACCAAACTCCCAGTCAAAATAAAAAATTCAAATCAAGATAGATTTGAATTATAAGGGCACAGATGTATGTGGTAATACTTGATAATCATATGCACACGCTAAAAAGCATGTTAATACATATAAAACATGTAGTGCACCAAATCCTCCAAATGTTGGTTTGGAAATTTGGGAGATATCATATAATGCATATATGTTTCCAAAATTCGATGTCATCAACTTAGTAGCAGCTTGGATAACTCTGATGAATCTAAAGAAGCAAACTCAATAACCTTTTTTTTATCAATGATAGCACTTCCAAGGAGATGAAAGTAGCTAAGAAATAGCAAATAAGCCTCCACCCTACCACAAACAAAAGAGAGACAAGAGAAAAAGTTCTTAGGTTATAGAAAACACTCGGTCCCAGGCTCTAAATAAATCTCCAAACAACTTCCAAAGCAGTCACAGGCTATAATGCCTTAGCCCACCTCCACAAATTATCAACATTAGAAGCATCTACAATGCCCTCATAATATCTAAGGAAGGATACGCTTATCAAAGCATTGCAAGAGACTGAGTAGTACGAAGCATCCATGTGAAGCAGAACATGAAAGAAACCCCAGACAAAGTGTTCTTTACAAAGCATAACATGAGCGATACTAAGTATTACATGTGTAAGGCTCTTAAACTGATCAAATAGCTGATCCCTATAATCACTTAATGACAGAAATTATACTCTAAAATTATGTTTAATTTCACCCCAAGTGTATTTTGTTCGAGTATCAACATTTCGCCAAGTGATTAAGCATGTACTATTAGTATGTTTAGCAGTCAAATCTTTATAAATTTTAAATATATATTTTAAGTTATCTATTCAATTTAAAAATTCCCTAAGCTTATACCTTCAGTTTGTCTTGGAATTGTCTAAATCATTATTAAATTGATTTCATATACGTGGCTTCATTTTGTAGTTTATTAACTGACCCAATTATTATGGACTATTTCTAGATGACATTACCATACAAACTTGAGTTTCGAAACAAAACTTAGTGTTACATGTGTTTATGATTAAAGTTTATTAATGCAAATCTATAATGAGATCAATAAAAACATGCAAAACCACACAAATTTATATATCTTAAAGTCTTAATTTTGGCAACTATTCATTAATTTAGATTAAAATAGATAATATAGATAATTTTAATGCATATGACAATTCAATAATTGTTGAATCAGGTAGCTAATGGGAAACCACGTCAGCAATCTAAGGGCTACAGTTGGAGATCCATGTGCAGCAATCTGAGGGCTACAGTTGGAGATCCATGTGCAGCAATCTGAGGGCTACAGTTGGAGATCCATGGGCAGTAATCTGAGGGCTGTAGTTGGAGATCCGTGGGATATGATTATTATAATTAATTAGATTAAATGTCTTTTCTTTTTCTGTTTATTCTCCTAGAATGTATATATGACATATATGTATAATTCCATGGAATGGAATTAGATTTGAATTTTCCTATAAACAATTTCTTCATGGCATCAAAAACTGTGAAAATCCTAAGCCTTCTCTGAATGTCGGCGGCAAACCTTCATCCCTTTCTTCCAAACCCTCAATCGGCAGTAACTCTCCATCATCCTGCCGATAGCCTCTCTTCAATCATTGGTAGCCCTTGCCCAAAATTCATCTTCTCTTTCAACCGAGGAAACACAACCATGTCCATGGATAGCGAGATCTCATCCTCCTACCCAAATATTATCGGTTTGAACACCGAAAACTTTGGATCAGCAAATAACTCTTCTCATCTTCCTAGATTATGGTGTGATCATTGTACCAAATCAGGGCATACAAAGAAGACATGTTGGAAGATTCATGAAAAACCAGCTGATTGGAAGGCAAACAAATCAGCACAAGAAAGCAAGGCGAACTCTGTCAATACCACGCAAGATCAATCCATCAAAGTTGAAGCCATTCCTTCCATCAAAGCTTAACAACATCATGAACCACAACTCTCCAAAACTTGCTACCAAACATGCTCACTAAGGTATAAAACAATCAAAACTTTAGGTTATTGACTCAAGAACATCAGATCATATTACAGGAAAGATTACACTCCATTATGACTATCAATCTTATCATTCAAATCGAGTAGTTAATATTGTTGATCGCTCAACATTCAAAGTTTTGGGAACTGATTCTGCTTTTGTCATATAAGTTATCACCCTTAAATTGGTGTTGTATATGCCCAATCTTGAGTGCAATCTGATTTCCATTAGTAAATTGACTCGTAATAGTAATTGCTTAATAATTTTCTCCAATAATGTATGTATTTTTCAGGATGTGGATTTGGAGAAGAAGATTGATAATACTAAGATGCATTATGGGTTATATTACATCAAGACACCCAAATCCATACAAACCTTAATTGCTGCTCCTAAGAATTCTCCTCCTAAGAATCATCCTATTGTAAGTCAATTTGTTGAGAGTCATTCTAGAGTTAGTCAAGATAGAGAGATTATCATGTGGCATTATAGTTTAGGTCATCCAAATTTCATGCATCTTGAAAAGATTTTTCCCCATTTATTTATTAATAAAAATCCAAGTTTGATTGAAACTTGCCAATTAGCTAAATATACCATATCATCTTACCCAATTGTTCCTTACCAACCTTCTAAACCATTTGCCGTGATCTATAATGATATTTGGGGACCCTCAAGGTTTAAAAATATAAGTAGAGCAAGGT